AATATAGCGAATTTTACCGTTGCACATAAAAGAAACTGAACAGTTCGAATGGATCGGCAACGACTGAAGAAGCCGCGGAACTTTTCTCTAAACGGATAAAATATCTCCGGGAGCCATAAGTGTCAGAGGATCTGCAGGTTTTTAGATTCGTTAACGAACGGGCCATTAGCTTGACCAACTTTTAACGGTGGACGTTGAACAGTTGCGTTTTACGTCTCGCAAACCTTGAACTTGAAGAGTTTCCCGATGCTGAAAAGAGTTCAGCAGGTCGCCCGGTCGAATTTCTCTGCGGTCGCGCGTGTACGTTCGCGGACAGGTAAAGGAAGAATGAGGAATTGCTGACAAGGCCGAGAACCGGTGAAATTACCTTGCCTCGGCCGAACGAGACTCGCTCATGGCTCGATACTCATTACCGATATGCATACGTACATATACAGGGTGAGTCTCGTGACATGGCGACTTCGAACAAGTCGTAAACCATTCGTATAACACTCTTTGTACTCAGAATTTGGCATTTTATCGAAATTAAAAAGAAATAATGAAAAAAGCAAAAAACCTGTTTTTGTTTAAAAAAACAGAGAAGAAAAACCAGGTCACATCACTGCATGTTCCCCTAGAAATGTGCAATATTTGTTTGACAATTTTCATCATAACTTCCGAGTTATTCAAAGTCGTCATGTTACGAGGCTCACCCTGTATATACAGCATTCAAGCTACCGAGCCGATGAAAGCCCGACGCGCTGCTTTTCCTCTATCAACATACGCTCGTTAACCCTTTCCCCCGATTTATTTCCTCTACGACCGAGGTTTCTCCTCGAGTCCAGTGATCCAAGATTTTCTAAGGAGACCAGCTTTATTCCGCAGAGATTCGACAGCCGAATTGGAATTTGAACGTTGAAATTTTTAGACAAGCCCGGCACGGACGCGCCCACGATGGCGCACACGACCCTGCGTGAGGTCGTCGAGCGGGTCGTCGAGGAAGCCAAGAAGTTACCGAGCTTCGCTGGTTCCGGCGGGACTGGGAAAGTCCACGAACCGAGGAACATCGCGGAGCACAACTACGAGGACATACTCGCCACCGCGATACTTAATAAGGTTGCAAAATTGATTCCACCCGAGCCAGATCTCTCCGAAGAGTATCCGTCCTCCTGCGGAGAGGCTTGGTCTCCGGAATTTCTAGTATTTTCCGCTCGAGAGGCGGGATCGAGCGAAAGAACGGATCGATCAGTGAACGACGACGATTTTCTAGGTCATCGAGAAATTCCAGAAGGAACAGGTGGACGGCAATAGCAACGTGCTTCCCGGGAAACCAGCGTCCGCGACGAAATACCCACTGAGTACGCACTTTAAGATTATCTTAATTCCTCCTAATTTGAAATTGAAATTTTATAGTAATTGTTGTCCTACTATATTAGCAGAGTATAAGAAAGAACAGTAGATTTGTTTTGTCAAGAAGTGTAGTAATAATTAAAATTGTAAAAATGAACAGATAGATTTAATATGAAAAAAAGAACCAAAAGGTCTCTAATTTGTTTTCAGGCGAAAGTAAAGCGGGCCTGGTCGAAGGTGTGGAAGAAGGTTGCAGCAGCGTGGAACCATTGTCCCAAGACGATTGCAGCAGCGAGTGTAGCGCGAGAGAAGCTTATTCGAAACGCGTTAAAAGCCAACCAGAGCCATTATCTCTTACGGTATAATAAAACTATTGACATTTTTCACATGGTTAACAAGAAACGCATAACATGACAAAATTGGAGAAACGAGTAGCACCGTTAGATACGATTTCGTGAATAGGTTTGTAGGTTGATGGGCATAATCAACCGATAAGCTGGTTGACTAGCCAACGATAAGCGACGGAAGTAGAACCGTTGCTTTGCATACGTACGTGAAAACATGCATAGTAATTCTAGCAAAAAGGTATATAAGAAGCTGGTTTTTCTTACGTATCGCCGACATCGACTGTAGTATAATTAGCGACAAGAATTGTCAAACTAATTTTGTATTCTTTCCACGATTTGGATCTTCGTTCATTGCAGATAGAAGAACGAATAGAGGAAGTGACTACCTATACTTCCGACGACGATCCCAAAGCAACCGATGTCTTGGGCATTAGAAACGTGTACCGAGTGCCATTTCCGGAGCTCGGAATGGACATTATTGACCGTAAGTGGACTGGCGTATAATTTATTGCATTATAAATGAAACATTCGTTCTCGTTTTATTGCATCATGCCCAGAATTACTATGACGAAATACATCAGCAATAAACAGATCGTAACAACTTTGTAATAAACGTTTTGTTTCACGTTTGTTTTACGTATTCCTCACGCAAGTTTGATACCATTCAAGGCTTGCACTTGCACACAGGATATTTTTGCTGACTGCTCATTTCGCGTTTCAACATTCCAAGTCGAATACCCTAATCAATCGCATTTTGGAGATATCGAGAACTATACTTAAAGTTGTATGAGCCATAAGATCTCTGCCAAAAGTTTAAGACTACTTAAAGCCGTTTCAATAAAAAAATGCCTAAAATTTCCCAGTGTTCTATTTCTAATAATTGTTAACATTTCAATGCTTTGTCCTTGTTTTTATTTAACAGCTGATACAACCTTAGTATTTAAACCAGAATTTGTACACTTCATTTTCATCGAGTCGAATGGATCTTAATATTTCTATGCAACAATTTTTAACTAATAAACTTTAATCGATTGTTTAAATACAGCTTCGCAAGAATCTGAGGACAGCCAAGACGAACCCGACACGCCGACCACGCATATAGGTTTGGTTTCGCCGATTGAGTCTTGGGAAGAGAACTGGCTGTTCCAGAGGAAAAGAGTTCCGACCCAGGCGGACCCGGTGAACATGCTGGTGCCGAACCCCAGCGCCGATTACAAGGCATTAATCGGTGACAAGGACGCCGAAGACACGTCCGATTTATCCGAATGCTCGGCTCAATCGGACGAGGAGATCGAGAAGGAACTGATGGAGGCGATAAATAACGTCGTGCCGCGTTCACCGAAAGAAACGGTGCTCCAAAACGGCCTGGGCCACCATTCAACCGATATTTCATCAAAGAAAAATTGTATGGGAACATTTCCTGAATGGGAAACAGAAAAACGGTGCGGTTCCAAGACAGGAGGCCAAAGTGAAACGAAAAGGAAAGAGGGAAATGGAGAAACTCGTGTAGAAAGTGCGAAGGAAAATGAAACGATCGGAACCAAAGAAGTTGTGGAAAAGAAATCTGACAGAGTCGAAGTTGAGGTCGGGAAACCAGTTCCAGAGCCAATCGATGTAATCGGTAACGATCCGAGTAACGGGGAAATGGAGCGACGGACGAAAAACGAAAACGATAAATCCAAAGAAGATGAAACGAGAAATTTAATCGAGGTCGGCTATTCGGTTGAACTGGTTCCCGAATCGAAAGAGAAGAACGAAGCTGGGAGTCTCGTTAACTTTGAACCGTCAGTCGAGGAAAATGGTTCAGACGTGCCAAAGACGCCGACGTCCACCCCGACGGGGCCTGTGCCGACGAAAATTACCCTGAACGATACGAACGGCGAGGAAACTATTGCATCGAACGAGGGAGATGTACTCAATTCGCTGGAATGCGCCAAGGAGAAGCTTATGGCAGTGAATGACTACACTGGAGAGGCATTCGAAAACGAACAATCGAGGTCTTCCCAGCAAAAACTCGACTTTCATGGTAAATATTTTCCTGATGTAGTCATTACGCGTAAAAGTTTCTTACGATCTTCATTTATCGATCTCACTTTCCACGTCGCGTGTTTCCCTTAGCTGAAGACATTCAGCAAGAAAGTGAATACACCGAGCACTATGATACGGCGACTCAGAGGCATTTGGATAGTTTGACGAAAACTGAGACTTCCGAGTCACCGTCGATGATTAATTCAACTGAAGAAAACGAGGACAGGTAATGAATTATTAAAATTCTAATTTAATTCTATGACGCGGGAATACAAAATCGAATCGCATTTTAATTCTGGATTTAACATGCATTAATATGCATTAGAACATGTAATATTACAATAACCTTGCAATAACCAAGTTTCCCCCCCTAATCTCTTATAGTAAAGTACTTTTTTTCTGATAACTTGATGCTTTATTAAAATTCGAGAAAGACATTGGTCATTTTGTTTAAAAAACTGAATCAAGGTGGCTCTCCTATCTCGATAAAAAAGCAAGGAAACAGATTACTGCATTGCATGTCCCCCTAATAGCCATGCAACATTTGTTTAAAAAATTTTATCACATCTTACGAGTTATTCGAAGTCGTCGTGTTACGAGACTCATGTATGTATGCATTATGCATATTGCTAGACTTCGGACGTTATACAACTATAAGGAAATGGAATGTGCAAAAATGATAAATGCCGCGTTTAATGTGTAAAACAACTTAAAATATCGAAAGCTCAATCGACGTTTCACTGTTCGAATGATCAAACAAAGGTTCATGTAATATAATATTTCTTATACCAGAAATATTTCATTTTACATAAAACAAGTTGTAACGATGTGAAATTCGAGATTTCTCGATTGTTTCGTGAAATGACGAGGCAAAGTTCGTTTCGTAACGTCACCGCGGACGGTCGTAAAGCGGCGTGTAAAGAACTTTCTTCTTGCCTTGATGATACTGTAACAATCTTCAACATTCCACTGTGCAGCAAGTGCCGTGAGGCTGTGGCGCTAGCCAAAGCTGAATCGGCTTCCCATCTGTTCCTGCAGAACAAGAGTACAGAGGAAGAGGTTCGGCTGGCCACTCCTCCGAAACCAGGTAATCGAATTATTCGACCTTCCTAATGATTTTCATTCTCCCCAAACTTCTAGCGTATAAATTGTTTCTGTGATAAACAAATGTAGGTACGATCGCCGAACGCGAGCACAGAAAGTGGGAAAATGCACCGCCGATTGAGAACAACCCGTACAGCCAGGAGAACATCCAAAAGAGGCTGTGGGAGAGACAGTACTCAAGAAGATCGTCAGACATTCCTGGGTAAAAATCTTCAAATCTTTATACAACGAGTTCAATCAAATTTTTGTAACGAGTGATTATCTTGTTTAGTATTCACCCGGAATTGCAGAAGAGCAACGGGGATGATTTGGACGCCATGCTAGCAACCCCTGAACCGGATATTAAACGGTGAATAACAACATTGCTAGACATCTTTTTATCTTCACATTAATTCTATTTCTCGTCATTCCTTTCATTCATGAAAACTTTTTCATTCATCTTGTTTTCACCAATTCCTTATGTTTAAATTTAATTCTAAATTCGTTTTTGGTTCAAGTTGAATCAGTTAATTTTGTCATCTCCAGGGATTATTATTCATTTCCTCTATTTCTCGTTTCCTCTAATAATAATAAAATCCAATGCAAACATTCACAACTCGATTCGTCAAAACCTGTTCGCTACTTTTTTATATTTCCTCCTACTGCAAACTCCATATTTAGCTCTATATTTCAGGCCTCTCTTGTCATCGTTGTTTTTAATCTGATGGAATAGGTTCGGAAGAGACTATTATATCAACGACTCGAGGACTTCTGGCAACGAGAAAGGGCGAAGGTCGGCCGCGTCGACCTCGAGCAGACCGAGCAGCTCGTTGTCCCAGCGATCGAGCTCTACCGGGATCGCGGAGGATCAACAGGTGAGTTTCCAGCTCGAAATGTTCGAGGAGGCTTCCCTCCGCGGCAGCCTTTCTAGGCAGGCGTTGCGCGACCCTTATTCAAGCCCGCACTTCGCCGTCAACCCGCTTCTACGTATGGAACTCGATACCACGTCCGATTATTCGGTTGATCCCATTCACGAGAATTCGATTGGACTTTCCGAAGACGAGAAATGCACCAGCATAGAGAAGGACCTTTTAGACGATACAGAATGCATAGAAATTGAAAGAAAAATGGATCAGATCAAATTGTATGATCCAAACGAGCCAAAAAAGGTGGCATGTAATCCTATATACGAGCCTGAAGAGAATATCCCAAAGCCGGATCGGGATTCAGGGCTATACTCTGTAGATACGAACGAGGACCAAGAGCATTGGAAAAGATTGTGGATCAACGATTGGCAGAGTGACATAAAGAATGACCAGATTTTATCATTCAATGGAAGAAAGTACTGCAACTTCAGTGGATACAAGTATAACACTTTTGGAGGAATAAAAAATTGGCAGATGAACGGCGTGGAAGATTCTAATGAAGCCAACTTGAAGGAAATATCTAGTGAACCGTTCGACCCTGCTGAGTTTACAAAATTGAACTTCCAGGCGTTTGGAGGTATAAAGAAGAGTAGTAAGAAGATCGATGGGAAGGGAATCCCTACGTATAGGAGAGTCACTTTGAGATCTTCCTTCAGGAGTTCTAAAAGTACCAAAGTGTTAAGAACGTCTCAGAGCGCTCCTATTTTACAACACGTAAACATAGTGAATAAGGTAGCAAACAAAAATTTCAATGACGATGGACGGATTAATTATTTTGAAAATAGCTACGAAAGTTTTGATGCCACGGTGTCAGACAGGCATCCGCTGATCTATGAATCATCGAGCGATGATGATTGGCAGGATGAAGACGTCCGTGTGCCTGACAAAATGATTATGCGTAAATTTCTAAAAGATGCATCCAAAAAGTGGAAGTCGCGTTCGAACTCGGACAACGAATCGGCGTACTTTTTAAACACGTCCCGAAGGAAGGTGTTCGACGAGAATCTGAGGAGAGTCAAACCACAGAAACATCGTACCTTCGACGATAACGAGAGTTTGAAGTTGGAGCCGCCTATCGTACCGGAGGTCGTCGCGAAGACTTTCGAGACTCTACGGGATCTCCGAGTGAAAGGGAGGAAAAAGAAGCACAAAGTCGAGCCAGTATCGGTACCGAATAAAAAACTAGGTGTTAGAAGTTTGAGCGATCTGACTATATGGTGAAAGTAGTTGACAAAATATAATGAGAACCAATCTGATCTTCCAGGGGGGAAATATTTTTTTATACAGTTTTATTTCATTGTGCCATGTTACCAACCAAGTTCCTTGATAGGTGTCCGAGACAAATATTTATTTCATATATTTTCTGTAGATTATAGAGAGGAAGGTTATTGTATAGACTGTATTGTATAATACATAATATATAAATATATTCTATTTAGTAACGTGAATCTTAGTTTTCAAATGCATGATACTTTTAGCGGTGTAGGTAATCTATTCCTGTACGGATTAATCCTCGTACGACTAATTAGTACTGTATTCAAGGTTGTATGGGCCTTTGAAAACAATGATAAAGCATTGGAGTTTTAACAGTTGTTAAACTTTTGTATAATCATTAATACACGCTTTAAAAATATATTGAAGTTAAAATAAAATTAACTTCGAGAATGTTATTTAAAAATAAAAAATTAGCAAACGTAAAAATTGTAGGATAGATTTGTAGACAATGTGAAGACTCGCAAGTCAGGTTGAATGCCAAAAAGATATGTTAAAACATTAGAAATTATACGTTAAAAATCCCCCGTTTTATAAACCTCATTTCTCTGTAAATATCATTTTTTCTAAAAACAAATATTAAAAACTTAATAATAACTTTCTATCAGATTTCTAACTTTTGGCAGAGATCTTACGGCTCATACAATCTTAATTAGATCTCGATTAGTTTTTAACACAATACCTCGTTCCGAGTACTTAAATCGTAAGAATGTAAATAAAGCCTTTTAAAATCTGTTACTTGTAGACTCGCGAGTAACGCGTAGACCTTGTAAAATATCATTCTTGTACATATGTAGCTACTTGTAGATCGTAAGAAAAAGGCCGTCAAAAGCAAAGCTAGACCGAACATTCTGTTAGTACGGAAGTCGCTCTCTATGCACATTGCACATGCATGATCGCTGCGAAAAATTGCCTTGTCTATACCGGTAAGTACCATTTACATGCGTTTCCATTATAATGCATGTCGACTAACAAACGATTCGAGGAACTGCATGCCCTACGAACAACGAATTAAAACGAGAAGAGTACGAGAAATGTAAAAATTCTACGGTCGTTCTCCACGATCAGGTGTTTGTAACTAACAGTCAACAAGCGAAGAATCTCATGGTGATTAAAATGTAAAGACACTACAAAAAAAGGCTTATGGTGATTCTTGGCTCTGTAATTCGACTCAGTCTCTTGCGTATAATAAAATATGGCTTGCGTGATACTAATTTCTGCTGAAGAAACTTCACTAACCACTGCAAGCTCATCAAAGTTCGGACTAAAACGTTCAATTGAAAATAAAATCTTTAATTCTATCTCTACCGTCCTCTGTTCCAGGAAGAAACGCGGTACAAGGAGAAGGAGTCGCTGTTGAATCAAAGCAACGACGTGAAGTCTAGGGTGGCCAAATGGCAGAACAATAACGTGGAGGGAAAGTATCAAACGCCTGTCCGACAGGACGACGAGGGTGCGAACGAGACGGGCAAGGAGAAGTTCCCGAAGAAGATCGAGTGTCAGAGAACGTGGGAGGATCAACGCATGGAGGAGATCCTGGAGAACGAGAGGAAGAACAGCAAGAACGAGGTGAACGCGAAACTGAACAACCAGGAGAATTACGAGAACGCCGTGATCGAAACGAGAAAGTCCGACGAGAATCCGCGGAAGATCAAGAGGATCGATCTGAAAGCCTACGGGTTTGAAAATGAGTTCACCAACGAGACTATCAAGACCTCGGCGCCGAGAGTGGTGAACAAATTAGACCTGAAGTCCTTCGGTTACGACGGTGGGATTCGAAGGACACAGTCGAACGTCCAGTTGAACAGCATCGGTAGGGAGGAATTCAAACCCCGATTAATCAGACCTACGCATAAATCGAATCTAACGAGGCGCAATGATTATGAGAACGATGATCGCGACGCGACCGAAGGCAGCCGCGGTTCCGGGGACAACAATTTAACGCAGAGCACCGAGGCTTTAAACAAATTCGACGACGAACGCTGCTACAACGATTTCGGTTTAAAGTCCGCGAAATCGGTACCAAACATCGCCAAGTTCTACTCGAACATGAGCAGCCACGAGGACGAAGAAGTGGAGGGTTACAATCAAACGTACGACGAGTTCCGCGTGATAAAGAACGGATCGGTCAAGAATATCGCAAGTAATTATAATCTGGAGAAGTGTAATATAAAGAGCAGCGATTCTTCCATCGACGGGTCTGAAATTGACACGGACAACTCGTCGGAGAAGGAACAGACGCATTTGGTTAATGGAAAGAAAAAGACTTTGAGCGACGAGGAACTAGATAACAAAGTGTTACCGATGCCGTCGGTCAGGAGACTTGCTGAAGCATTCAGCAAACAGACTGATCCCGTGCCAATTTCCTTTCCAAAGGTAATTAATTAGGGAGTAACTAATTTAAATCAGAGTTAATTAATTAGTAGATTTTATTTCATTGATAGACGCGCGATTTAAGAACGACGTTTTTTTCGCTAGGTAACGAAGCCGGGCAACGTGTACAAAGAGAGATCGTCCACGCCGGAGATTCAAATAGTTGAAACGCCTAGGCAGATGCACAGTCTGACCGCGAGGTCGCTTTCGAAACAATTCCGCGAGGGTCTCAGGCAAATTCCGAACAAGGTAGCCACACCACCGGCTAGTCACGTCGTTATGGAGCAACCGAATATACCGGAGAACCAGAACGAGACGGTGCCATCGACGAAAAGCGACATCGTGTCCAACGATACGAACGTCATTCTACCAGGGAAACTGAAATCGAACATAATATTTTGGGAACAGATGCAGAGGAAGACTTAGAGTATGTCTACTTTCTCGTAATTTGGGTCTAATTCTTTTTTCAATTAACAACCGAAGATCAAACGACACGTAATAAACCTGCAGGTGTAAAATGTCTGCGTACAAGAAATTCACCTAAATTCTTTTAATATTAGCCACTTTCACTTTGGATAAAAACTTCATCGGTCATTCCTGTTCGGATGAATAGACGTTTAAACGGTCAGCAACGAAAGAGTCAATTGTATGAAACAATACAGGCTCGAGAGGAAAAAATTTACAAAAGCAATCGCATTGCACGATGGTAGACGTCGATGCGATTGCGTGTGCCAAATGATATATCAACCCGTGATTAGCCAAAGAGAATACTTCCGCGTGCTAGTTTCGAATAAACGCGAGCTCAATGTTGAATACAGTAAAATATTCTGAGAACTTTTTACGAAACGACCGAGCAAATTATTTGTTAGTATTCGAAACTGTAAATATAGTCCACCTTTGAAATTTTGTTATGTATATAACAGGAAGCACTAATATATGTAGTAAAGAAAGGCCACAAGGTTTTATATATAAATCTTCCTAACAGCGTTCCCGATAAACCGCACTGCTATATTAATTATTATTTATTGACGTCCGAATAAATAACAATGTATATATGAATCACGAATTCGGTGGACGAAAATCCTTTATATATTATATAGAATATCAAAATTTGCATGGACGTACCCCTGCGTTATCTGTATACTAAATTGTGCTATATCGATATTATATAAATATATTGTTTATTATAAACAGCAAGCCTAATTTTTTCCCTGGCCCTTAAAATGTGTATTAGTCAGGATAAGACTTAGAAATAAACAGATACAAGTAACCTTAAAGTATCGATAGGATAATCCGGGAGGCTGGGTCATCAGTTGAACCTACTAAATGCTCGATATTTTATTTCATCAATATACATAAATGAATATTATTTATAATTATGCAGGAACATAAAACTACATCGGTCTCCTTTCCTTCTTCCATCATTTACAAAATTATGGAATACTATTATTTATAAAATACTCAAGAAGTCACTTTTGGCCAGCTTTGAGAGGCCAGTAAAAATTCTAATTGCGATAATTCAATAATATATACACCTAGTTTTATGAAACGGTATTCTCTCTAATTCTTCAGCATGTTCTCGCCGATAGTCCCACAAAAAATGATCGATCAGTACGGCGTTAATGTCTGATTTCTTTAACGCCAGGTTCGGATAACGCTCGATCAAATCCCTTACCTCATCCTTGACTCGTTCCACTACCTCAATCGAACAACCACGAATCTCAATTTCGTCCTCGCTACCGTTTTCTAACTCTATATCTGCAAATATATTAAATATCGTTCTATCTAAAACCAAAATCTACTGGCTAACGCTATTAACGACGAGATTTGTTATTTGTTACGAGTTCTGGCAAACAGCTATTACTAATATACGAACAGATATCAATTGAAATCGATTATAAAATAATGAAAAAACGAGGAAAATCTTTTGTGGCCCATGCTAGTGATTCAGAAACTGATCCAGAAAGAGAAAAATTGAAACAACTTTCTATAGAACTAACAACTTACCGGACTGCAGTCTGCTGAGCAGAGTATTGTTATAACGAATAGCGCCAAAGTGTACGAGAACCTGGGGAATACGGTAATCGGCGAACATCGTGATGTGATCAATGTCCTCGAATTCACCGATACCCTGTCCTTTGAAGCACGCCCAGATGTCCCCGATCAGTATTTGAACTCTCTTGTAAAAGCTCACTGGAAAAGCCCATTACCATCCCACGTGTTCATTTGTTCTCCGCGTGGAAATTTAATGCATAATAATATCGCTACCTCTCTGATTTTCGTAAGTCGCCTCGTCTCGGTAAGACTCGAAATCTCTCACGATACACTTGAGCAATTGTTCCGTCGAACGCGAACATGATTTGATACAATTGACGAAACTGCCTTCAATAAGAGAAAACGGAATTTGATAAAAATTGTTACGAGGAAACGGAGAGCACTTCACGTTTTGCTGGTCTAGTGTACAACTTTACGTTTCTCGAAACCGTTGTACATATCTTAAATGAAAGGTAAACTGCCTTAATTGTATATATACATATATCGACGACTTCTGTATTTTTAACTTGCACGATGGTACAGCTTGGGACATGTTTTAAGGATGTATTGGCTATACAGTCCATCCCAAAAGTTTATGCACTTTAGAAACGCATTCTTTAAAAAGAAATTAGACATCGGAAGAACATTGCTAATAATAAACAACAAAAAAAAATTTTCGATTTTTCCGAGATT